CCTTAGCCGGTTGAGCTATAGGCGCCGAGCCAGAAGGGACATTTCTTAAACTGATAGAGGCCATCTACAGCAAACTCACAGTCAATATCATACTGAATGGTGTAAAACTGAAAACATTTCCACTTAGATCAGGAATGAGGCAAGGATGTAGTGGAAGTAGTAATGGAAGTCTTAGCTATCGCAATCAGGCAAGAAAAGGCAATCAAGGGTATCCAAATAGGGTCAGAGAAGATCAAACTCTCACTCTTTGCTGATGATATGATCCTATACATGGAAAATCCAAGGGACTCAACTTCAAAACTCTTAGAAGTGATGAAGGAATATAGCAGCATCTCAGGATACAAAATCAATACTTACAAGTCTGTAGCTTATATATGCCAACAATAGTCAAGGTAAAGAAACAATCAAGGATTCTACTCCTTTTACAATAGTGCAAAGATGAAGTTTCTGGGAATTTACCTAACAAAGGACGTGAAAGATCTCTATAAAGAGAAATTCTGAGAAAAGAAATAGCTGAAGATATTAACAAATGGAAAAACATACCATGCTCATGGCTGGGAACAATCAACATTGTTAAAATGTCCATAGTACAAAAAGCAATCTACAGATTTAATGCAATCCCTATGAAAGCACCCTTGTATACTTTAAAGAACTGGAAAAAATAGTACTTCGTTTTATATGGAATCAGAAAAAAGCTCGAATAGCAAATACATTACTCTGAAATAAGAACAGAACAGGAGGTATCACATTACCAGACTTCAGGCTATACTATAAATCTATAGTGATCAAAACAGCATGGTACTGGCACAAAAACAGAACAGTAGATTTATGGAACAGAAGAGAGAACCAAGAGATGAACCCAGCTGCTTATCACCATTTGATCTTCAACAAGCCTATCAAAAATATTCAGTGGGGGAAAGACTCCCTATTTAACAAATGGTGCTGGGTGAACTGGCTGGCAACCTGCAGAAGACTGAAACTGGACCCCCACTTTTCACCATTAACAAAAATTGATTCTCACTGGATAAAATATTTAAACTTAAGACATGAAACTATAAAAATACTAGAAGAGAGTGCAGGTAAAGCACTTGAAGAAATTGGCCTGGGAGAAGACTTTATGGGGAGGACCTCCCAGGCAGTTAAAGCAACACCAAAAATACATTACTGGGATATGATCAAACTAAAAAGCTTTTGCACAGCCAAGAGCACAGTAAGTAAAGGAAACAGACAACCTTCAGAATGGGAGAATATTTTTGCAGGTTATGCTTCTGATGAAAGTCTGATAACCAGAATCTACAAAGAACTCAAACTAATCAATAAGAAAAAAAATAAATAACCCTATTTCTATGTGGACAAGAGACTTGAACAAAAATTTCTCTGATGAAGACAGGTGCATGGCCTACAAACACATACAAAAATGCTCATCATTCTTAATCATCAGAGAAATACAAATAAAAACCATTTTGAGATATCATCTAACTCCAGTAAGATTAGCCCACATCACAAAATCCCAAAACTACAGATGTTGGCGTGGATACAGAGAGAAAGGAATGCTTCTACACTGCTGGTGGGAACACAAGCTAATATGACCTTTTTGGAAAGAAGTTTGGAGAACACTCAAGGAACTAAAAGTAGACCCATTTGATCCTGCAATTCCTCTACTAGGTATATACCCAGATGATCAAAAATTATTTTACAACAAAGACATTTGCACCAGAATGTTTATTGCAGCCCAATTCATAATAGCCAAGACATGGAAACAGCCTGAGTGCCCATCAACCCATGAATGCATTAAAAAATTGTGATATATGTACACCATGGAATACTATGCAGCCATAAAAAGATGGAGACTTCACATCTTTTATGTTTACCTGGATGGAGCTGGAACATATTCTTCTTAGTAAAGTATCTCACGAATGGAAAGAAAAGTATCCAATGTACTCAATACTACTGTGAAATCAATATATAATCACCTACACACTCAAATGAATGGCAAAACATAACTATAGTCC